CGGCGGCGGACCCCCTCCGGGTGGCGGACCTCCTCAAGGCCCCGGCGGACCACCACCTGTGGCTCCTCTCGGCGCACCAGGTGTCGTCACCGGACGAACCAAAGTCCGCGCACCCAATGTTTTTGACGGAGACCGCGACAATCTACGCACCTTCCTCAATGAACTCTTCCTGTTCTTCGAAGCACGTCCAGCCGACTACGCCACCGACCAGAGCCGCATCGTCACCGCTCTAACGTTCATGGACGGACCTAAGGTGATCGCCTGGAAGGACGGATACATCGCTCAGGCCCGACGAAACGGCTGGAACACCTGGAATGCGTTTGAGACGGTCTTACAACAGACCTTCCAGCCCATCGAGGAAGCCGCTACGGCCGCCTCCAAGCTGTACCACCTCGACTATCGACCTGCGGCACCAGACACCTTCAATGCGGAATTCTTCCGCCTCTGCGCCCTCGCCGGTATACTCGAAGACAGTGCTCAGCTGTCCTTTTATAAGGAGCGTCTCCCAGAAAGCATGCGACGACGGGTTCGCCTCACGTACCCCATCCCCACCACCGTTAATGAGTGGGCAGCACGGGTGTTGGAGATCGAACACTCCAACTACGAGGAACGACACCTGCGCCAACTCGAGGGACGCTCTCGCAACGACCGGCAGGGTCAAGGCACCAAGGGACAGTCCGCTCGTACCAACTCCATACGACGAGTCGACGCTCCAGCCATGAAGGAAGACAGAGAGAAGAAGCAATGCTTCTACTGCCACGAGACTGGTCACATCGCACGCGACTGCCTTAAGAAGAAGGTGGACAATCGTGCCAAGGGACGACAGCCTGGACAGAAGAAGCGGAAGGTGCGCAAGGTCGATGAACTAGAGGATGGCGAGGTCGCCGACGACGAAGACAATGGCGAAGCCACACCTGACAAAACAATCAGTCAGGTCGACGTAGGCGATTCGGATGAGGGTTTTTGAACGGGCAGTCTTCGCCGACAGAAGAACTGCCCTCTGACTGTATTAGTATCTCGTTTGTTGCCACTACAGAACGACGACGTCAATCTATTCTTATCCCGGGCAGCATCGAGTACGAGTCTACAAGTGTCGGAGCTCATGCGTTCATCGATTGCGGAGCAAGCGCCTCTCTCCTTAACCGGAATTTCGCGAAGAGGCACAAACTCCCTCTCATCACCTTACCCTCCCCCCTTCGTTTCACCAATGTCGATGGCACCGCCAACACGGCCGGGCCAGTCACCCACAAATTTGTAGGCCACTTCCGAATTAACAGCCACGAGTTCCCCACTGAACTCTACGTCGCGGACTGCGGATGGGATGACATCATTCTCGGAATGCCATGGCTCATCCAGTACAACCCCCACATCGACTGGGTACAAGGCAAGGTCCGGTTCGACGCCAAATACCTACGGGCGGAACAGCGACTTTGGGAATACCATCAGCGCCCCTCAGGGAATCCCCGCCGACACCTTACCGCTTTCCTTCACGGAGACATCCATCCCGAATGGAACCCATCTGCCACCATCCGACGACTCATCATTGGAGACACCCCCATCGCTCGCACCTCCGTGTCGACCCAACTGGCTGTCGAAGCCGGGTCAAAAGCAGCCGACGTCAAGGCTACCGTCGCCATCCCAGACTACCTCAAAACCTATCACCAGGTGTTTGAGAAGAAGGCGGCCGAACGAATGCCCAAGCCCCGGGCCTGGGATCACCCCATCGAGCTCCGACCTGACTTCAAACCTCGGAACTGCAAGCTGTACCCCCTGTCTCCGCTCAAGATGCAGGAACTTCGGAAGTTCATCGACGAGAACCTAGCCAAGGGGTACATCCGCCCATCCACCTCACCAATGGCATCCCCTTTCTTCTTCGTGGACAAGAAGGATGGTTCCATGCGACCCGTCCAGGACTACCGCTACCTCAATTCTGGCACGATCAAGAACGTCTACCCCCTCCCCCTGATCAACGATCTCATCGACCAGTTGCAAGGGGCCAAGTACTTCACGAAGTTGGACGTCCGAGCCGGTTACAACAATGTCCGCATCAAAGACGGTGATCAGTGGAAGGCGGCCTTCAAGACCCCCCTCGGCCTCTACGAGCCGACCGTAATGTTCTTCGGGTTATGCAACGCCCCGGCGACATTCCAGGCGATGATGAACAATGGTTTCAAGGACATGATCGCGGAGGGATGGCTCGTCATCTACATGGACGACATTCTGATACACTCCAAGACACAGGACGTCCACCACCGTCGAACGCAGCGGGTCGTGCAGCGTCTCATCGAAATGGACCTTTTCCTCAAACGCGAGAAGTGCGTGTTCGACGCTGCTGAGGTCGAGTTCCTAGGCACCATCATTCGCGAAGGATCGCTCAGCATGGACCCGGTCAAGCTCGACGGCATCTGCGCCTGGCCGGTACCCACCACTGTCAAACAGGTCCAGAGCTTCCTCGGATTCTGCAACTTCTACCGACGCTTCATCCGTGACTACAGCAAGATCGCTCGACCACTGACACAACTCACCCGGAAAGACCTACCCTTTCAATGGACGCCCGAATGTCAGGTTGCCTTCGACACACTTCGCAACCTGTTCCAGCAGAAGCCCATTCTTTGCATGGCAGACCCCTCCGCAGCCTTCCAAATTGAATGTGACGCCTCTATGTTTGCCACCGGGGCCGTCCTCCGCCAACAGAACGCCAACCAAGACTGGATGCCGGTAGCGTACCTATCTCATGCCCTCTCACCTGCGGAACGCAACTATCAGATCTACGACAAGGAGCTCCTCGCAGTGGTCCGCGCTTTCGAGACCTGGCAGCACTACCTTGAAGGATCCCCCCACGTCATCCAGGTCATCTCGGACCACAAGAACCTCACCTACTGGCGGTCCGCACAGAAGCTCACCCGACGCCAGGCCCGATGGAGTGCGTTCCTAGGCCAGTTTCACTTCAAAATCCACCATCATGCCGGGAAGACCTTGACCCAAGCCGACACCCTGTCCCGCCGCCCCGACCGTGTGAACGGAAAGCATGACAACGAGGACGTTGTCGTCTTAAATGACGGGGTATTTATTCGAGCTGTCACTGATGATCTACTGCTGCGAATCAAGGACGCCACCCGAAAGGACACCAAGGTGGTACAAACCAGCCGGCATGGACGTCTAACCCTCGTCAAGCCACCTCCGTACGGCAAACCCGAAGACTGGAAGCTGGACGATGGCGTTGCCAAGTACCAGGGCAAGATCTACATCCCTCCGAATGAAGACCTGCGACGCGACATTGTCTGGATACATCACGACCCGGCAGTAATGGGCCACCCCGGACAGGATCAGAACATCGAACTCGTCTCACGACAGTACAGTTGGGGCGGAATGGAAAACTTCATCCGCAAATTCGTTCAAGGATGCGCCATCTGCCAAGGATCCAAGGTTAACACTCACCCCGTAAAAGCTCCTGCCATGCCGATCCCCCACGCAGGGAACACGCGGCCGTTTTCAGTCATCACCATGGATCACATCACGGGTCTCCCACCGTCCAACGGATTCAACGCCATTCAAGTGGTAGTAGATCACAATACCACCAAAGGCGTAGTCATCACCCCTTGCACCATCAACGTCACCGCCTTGGAAGCGGCCGAACTACTGTTCCGAGACGTCTACAAACGGTTTGGAGCCCCTCAAAGGATCATATCCGACCGAGGACCCCAGTTTGCGTCCGGGGTGTTCCAAGAACTGCAACGACTCGTAGGAGTCAAGACTTCCCGATCCACGGCATATCACCCTCAGACGGACGGACAGACAGAACGAGTCAACCAGGAAATCGACTTAGCCCTGCGCATCTACTGTCTCAATGACCCGGACAGCTGGTCAGACAAACTCCCTGCCTTCGAGTTCTGCCACAACCAACACAAGCACTCCGTCACCGGCAAGTCTCTGTTCGAACTCATCATGGGCTACAACCCCGACGTATTCCCCAACTCCCTCTCTCCATCCACACACCCGAGCGCGGAAGAACGAATCCAGCAACTCCTCGAAGACCGAGCCAACGCGGAAGCCGCGCACAACCGAGCAGCGGAGATCATGGCCCGAAGGGCTGGAACCAAGCTGGTCACATTCAAGAAAGGCGATAGGGTCCTCCTCGAATCGACCAACCTCAGACTCCCCTATCCCCACCGGAAGTTAGCCCCGAAAAGGGAAGGACCCTTCGAGATCAACGAAATCACTGGTCCAGTCACAGTTCGGCTGAAACTCCCTAAGGCCTGGAAGATCCATGACGTCTTCCATGTGAACCTACTCAAACCTTATCGAGTCACCAAGGAACACGGGCCAGACTACCCCAGACCGCCTCCGGAGACCGTAAAAGGCGAAGAAGAATGGGAAGTCGAGGCCATCTTGGCCCATCGGAAACGTGGGAAAGGCTATCAATACTTCGTCTCTTGGAAGGGCTGGCCTAGTAGCGAAAACTCGTGGGTTTCCGGGAAGGAGATGACTAATGCGCCGAAGCTCCTCACCAAGTACAAGAAGCAACAGCGACTCTAGGGAACGACCCCAACCCACTCCTCTCTCCTGCCAATCAACACCATGCCCCAACTCGCCTCTACCTACCGCGCTGCCCCCGAAGACGTCCCCACCCCTCAGTGGTTCCTCGACCACAACTTCCACCTTTCCTTCCTCCACCTACCCGGCAATAAAATCGCCGGATACGGCCAGACCTCCCAACGTCAATACGTTGGGTGGCTCCTCCTCCAACCCAGCCCAGAATTGCGCAACGTCCTGGAATGGCGATTCCGGGACGTCCCGCCCGCCAGTCACGCCTGGGCCATCTACGGCGAGTCGGTCGTCACCCTCACCCATCTCCGGACCCTCGACTGGGACGTCGGCGAGATCACCGACCCGTCTGGCCAACGACGGGCCTATGACACTGTCTCCCAGCTGCGGGCCACGACGATCGCCATGTCCGACCACGCTTTAGATATCGTTTGCGCCCCTCATCATCTTTTCCTCATCGCTGACCTCGTCAACCACATAGAGCAGGTTGACCGCGACCATGAGCGGACCTGGCTGGAGCGCGTCATCGCCAACAACGACAACCACGCCGCCTCACCTATTCCCCCCACCCCGCCTCTACCCGCCCCGGAATGGGGGAACGCGGCTGACGTCTCCGGATGGGGCGACACCAACGTCGACTGGAGCAACACTAACTGGGGGGACGTCCCCATGGACGAGGCCGACATGGAATGGTCCTCCCCTATACAACCTTCGCGCCGCTCCCCTCCACCCCGCGACTCCCCTTTCCCAACACTGCAGCACCTCCGCCCGATGCCCGATCGCCTACACTCCGGCGTGCCCCCTCCGTCCCGTACACGCCCCTCTCCCCGCTCTCCCAGCCCCACCCCCCACTCCCCGAGCCCCGTCAACGAGAACGAACCCCCGTTCACCATGGTCGTCGACCCCGCGTCGCCCCTGGAGTGGCCGACCTCAACCGTCCGAACGGTCCTCGGCACCATCAGCGGAGGCGACCTCACCGACGCCACCGACCCCGACGCCCTGTCCGCGCCCCCTGCCCCTCCAACCCCCCGCTCCGCCAACCCAGA